GTGGACTTCAACACCCTGGGAGTTGAAGTCCACAAGTCTTAAAGTTGCCAAGTTTGGAGACCTCTGCATTAGAGTACCATCGGATTTGGCAATATGGGAAACTACATCATACCTAGCTAGCTTCACATCTTGTACTAAACTAAAACGTGGTTTAGTTTTGGCTTACGTAGGTGCTTGAAGTTAGGGGTGAAGTATCCTATGATTACTTGTTCAACAAACCATGTTAAAAATAGACCATGCAATGTAGAAATCAAGTCACTGAAATAAATCAATGATTCCTTTAGATCAGGAGTGTCCAACCTGCGGACTTCAACTCTGGACAGCAAGTAATATGGCCCTACAAAATCATAAACTTTTAACATTATGTAATTTTTAGCGTTTTTTAGCAATACTGTATCTTTTATATGTAGCCCAGGATAATTCATCTTCACTCAATGCAGCCCAGGCAAGCCAAAAGGTTGGTCATCCATTAATTAATAGTTTATTCTGGTAAGGAGAATAAATCAATTCTATTGGTAGATTTGATTTGTAGAAGATCAAAAAGATATACCCAATTGCATAGTAATCGTAACAGTTAAAAACTTCTCCCACCCCCACCAAAAAAACTTCATATTATTCAAGAGTATATATATTTTTTTTGTGGAAAAGGTATGAGATTTTATATTTAAATAAATTTCCAGGCTCATATTTTAATTCTGTAATGTCTTGCAGCAAGCTAGATTTGGCTAATGCTAGGGATCTAGTTATAGATCCACCAGAAGTAATTTTATATTAGACTCAATCAGATTTCTCCAGAATTTTAGAGATGCTTTCTTCTGGAGATTCTGGTCACTGAAGTTAGGATCTTCTGCATACGTGCAAAATGTGTGCATGAGTAGCCTTAGCTTAGATTGCCATATCATGGGACTAACTACAGAGCACAATGGCACAAAGGCATAATAAAGGCTTAGACATTTCAACCCTGTTTAAAAAGATGCACTAAATTTTACTGGCTAGAAAAATCTTTCTTACCGCATCATGATGGACATTTTTTAAAATGAAAATATGAAACTTTTTTTTTAATGGAATTAGTTAATGAGAGGCAATAAAAATAACATATGTAAAGAACTATTCCTGTTTTGCTGATTCCACACTGCAAACCTCAGGAACATGGTTTGCTTGAGGGATATGCTCCAAGGCAGGTGGCTGGTTTTTGTGGCAAAGAGAATGCAGGACTGTAGAGTTGTAATTGCAGGAATGTTCCAATCTCGGATGGCAAACCTCAGATAAAGAATGTTTCCAAGCAAATACAACTCAGGTAAACAAAGTCACTAATCTAAAGGAGGATTAGAGACAGGAAGTAAACATATGTTAGACTTTAACTAGAGATAATTAATTGTATGGATTACTGTGCTAAACAGTAACCAAAGTTAAGCAGTAACCAAAGTTAACCAATGATGGAGGATAATTAAAAATGTGTATAAATGCAAGACTAGACTCCAATAAAGTTCATCATGATTCAGTTGTTCATGATCAAACAACTCGACTGCCTCGTCATTACGACACAAGACCAGACAGGTTTTGGCCTAAACCACCAAAGCATTTTAAGGCCCCATTCCAGCACTTTCTCATTGCTGGGGCTGCTTCCTTTCCCATCCCAAAGTAACACCATCAGCGTTCAAGGTTCTAGGTTTTTGCTTTATGTTTTTCCACAGAAAGGTAGAAGCGGATTTTGGAGACCCAGCTGCAAAAGAAGCATGTTCTGACAAAGGCTAAAATAAAGTCCTTTGGGGATGTAAAGATTCTGGCTTATAAAACCAAAGTTCAGGCCTATCTACTGCAATTCGGCCATTCATTTTCTTTCTCTTTATATGTCCTGCTTTAGTCGTGATCTAAATCAACTTTCTACAGCTATTACTATGGTTCATAAGCTGGCATTCCAGTTTATTTCAGATGTAACAGCAGTTTAGCCTCTCTAGTTTCAGTATCCTTGGTCCTTCAAGTTGGAGATTGCCATTTTATTTTTCGATGGTGATCAGTTCTTTACAGATTATTTTCCAGAAAGTTCCTCTCCTCCGTCAGCTGGAAGCCAGGAAAGGCCCTGATCTGGAATAACAATTGCTACAATCCAGACAGGGAGAGGATCCACAATCTCTGCAATATGCTTTGTGTTCTTATGTAACAGGGTCAGCACAGCAGCCATTTTAAGAAACATTTCTTCTATACTTCAAGGTTAATTTGACTCTGTTGGACATGTTACAGCAAATACACTGCTCAAAAAAATAAAGGGAACACTTAAACAACACAATGTAACTCCAAGTCAATCACACTTCTGTGAAATCAAACTGTCCACTTAGGTAGCAACACTGATTGACAATCAATTTTACATGCTGTTGTGCAAATGGAATAGACAACAGGGGGAAAGCATAGGCAGTTAGCAAGACATCCCCAATAAAGGAGTGGTTCTGCAGGTGGTGACCACAGACCACTTCTCAGTTCCTATGCTTTCTGGCTGATGGTTTGGTCACTTTTGAATGCTGGCAGTGCTTTCACTCTAGTGGTAGCGTGAGATGGAGTCTACAACCCACACAAGTGGCTCAGGTAGTGCAGCTCATCCAGGATGGCACATCAATGCGAGCTGTGGCAAGAAGGTTTGCTGTGTCTGTCAGTGTAGTGTCCAGAGCATGGAGGTGCTACCAGGAGACAGGCCAGTACATCAGGAGACATAGAGGAGGCCGTAGGAGGGCAACAACCCAGCATCAGGACCACTACCTCCGCCTTTGTGCAAGGAGGGATAGGAGGAGCACTGCCAGAGCCCTGCAAAATGACCTCCAGCGGGCCACAAATGTGCATGTGGCTGCTCAAACGGTCAGGAACAGACTCTATGAGGGCCCGACGTCCACAGGTGGGGGTTGTGCTTACAGCCCAACATTGTGCATGACGTTTGGCATTTGCCAGAGAACACCAAGATTGGCAAATTTGCCACTGGCGCCCTGTGCTCTTCACAGATGAAAGCAGGTTGACACTGAGCACATGTGGCAGACGTGACAGGGTCTGGAGACGCCGCGGAGAACGGTCTGCTGCCTGCAACAACCTCCAGCATGACCGGTTTGGCAGTGGATCAGTAATGGTGTGGGTTGGCATTTCTTTAGGGGGCCGCACAGCCCTCCGTGTGCTCGTCAGAGGTAGCCTGACTGCCATTAGGTACCGAGATGAGATCCTCAGACCCCTTGTGAGACCATATGCTGGTGCGGTTGGCCCTGGGTTCCTCCTAATGCAAGACAATGCTCGACCTCATGTGGCTGGAGTGTGTCAGCAGTTCCTGCAAGACGAAGGCATTGATGCTATGGACTGGCCTGCTCATTCCCTAGACCTGAATCCAATTGAGCACATCTGTGACATCATGTCTCGCTCCATCCACCAACACCACGTTGTACCACAGACTGTCCAGGAGTTGGGGGATGCTTTAGTCCAGGTGTGGGAGGAGATCCCTCAGGAGACCATCCGCCACCTCATCAGGAGCATGCCCAGGTGTTGTAGGGAGGTCATACAGGCACTGTGGAGGCCACACACACTACTGAGCCTCATTTTGACTTGTTTTCAGGACATTACATCAAAGTTGGATCAGCCTGTAGTGTTTTTTTCCACTTTAATTTTGTGTGTAACTTCACATCCAGACCTCCATGGGTTGCTAAATTTGATATCCATTGATAATTTTTGTGTGATTTTGTTGTCAGCACGTTCAACTATGTAATGAACAAAGTATTTAATAAGAATATTTCATTCATTCAGATCTAGGATGTCTTATTTTTGTGTTCCCTTTATTTTGTTGAGCAGTGTACAACTTGGAATGATATTTACTAGGGGACACAAAGCTTAATATGAATCGTAAGTTTGTATTTCAGTTCTGACCAAATGTTAACTCTGCTTGCTTTGGAGTTGAATGTCAACAGAAATGAAAAGAAAGAGAAGATTGATGAACTAGCTGGTCCTACATAAGTTTGCCTACTGCTTTCTTTTTTCTTTTTTTTGCTTGGTGTCTTAGGAAAATTAGTTAAGGCTCAGTTCCTCAACCAATCACATCTTTTGCGATTTTTAAACTCTTAATTTTTTCCAAATCTAACTGGTGGACTTTTAATGGATCTAGTGGAGCATTAGAAGAGAGATATCAAAATGCGACCAGAGCCATTTTAATCATTCTAAAACCAAACAGGGAAATATGTTAAAGCCGAGGTGTAAATGCACACGGAACCTGAAGTATATTTAAAAATTGCATATATTGTAGTAAGGGTTTCATCTAATAAAAGTTACCCACTTCCTCGGAGTTCTGCCTGCTTCCCTGTCTATAAATACAGTACACACGCCTCTTCCGGAAAAAGAGGGCAGATACATCAATGAGAAGAAACAAACAAGACTACTACAAGATGGGACGACTTTACTCGTGAATTTACAAGAGCCTTCGGAAAGCAGAGCCACTGTTGTTTCCTGTTCGTTTCAGAATTGACTTTCAACTTTTTTTAAAAAAACAACAACCCAGATTCTCAGGGAAGGCGCCGACCTGCAGTTTTAATGGGCGTAGTACCCTGGTGTGCTTTTTTATATTTTTCTTTTACTCCAAATATAGTCCAGTAACGTGGGGGTATACAAGTACCCGAGGAAGACAAGGATCGCCTCTCTCTATCCCTGGAGTGCTGTACATCCCTTGCAGTAATTTAAAATTTATTTTCTTCCACTCGGGAGGGCGTTGCAGCCTCCCAAACGTAAACTTCAAAATCTTCACTTCCTCCCTCCTCCAGCCAGCAGTGCCTGTTGGGAGAAGCCAGCCGTCCTACAAGGCGGCCAGCCCCAAAAGGGGCGTGGCCACCCCTGCCCTTCTCTTTCCTCCGGCGCCTGGAATGTTTGTTAGGTAAACACCGCAGAGTAGAGTTTTTAGCCACGCCTCCTTCGCTCTCCCCTCGCTCACCCTCTCTCTCTCTCTCGCTCTCTCTCTCTCTGGGCCAATGGAAACGCTGGAGCGGTTTCAAGGCTACTCCCTTGTGTAAGAGAGCCACTGGACTGGTGGTAACAAAATAACAAAAGCGTCGAAGGTTGCAAGAGTAACGGGGCTTCTTTCCCCACCCCTCACCTCTTCCTCGGCTTCGCTCCCCGCTTTTGGACCCTTATGCACGGCGGAGAACACGTTTTGGTCCGATTTTGTGGAAAACCCGCCGGGCGGAAGCGAAGCGCAGAAAAGGATCCTGAGCTCGGCTTGTTGTTTATCTGGAGGGAGAGGACTGGAAACCGCCTGTGTCCCATTTCCTCGCGCGCCCGCGCCTCTTCGTGTGGGGTGTGTGTGTGTGTGTGTTGTGTGCGCGGGGGAGAGAGAGAGAGAGAGAGAGTGGGGTGTCCCCCACCACCACCTTTGCTTCAGCCCTGGATTCTCCATGTTGGACCCGATCTGAGGAGCATCTACACGGCTGCCTTTGCAAAGAGCTTACTCCTCGGCTTTGCAACTGAAGGAGGAGCGGGGCGCGGGCTCCCTTCTCCATCGCGTTCATTCCTTCTCTTGCTTCCTTCCCCCCACCCCACCCCACTCCACTCCTCCTCGGATATTTCCCTCCTCCGGACTAAAGGATCCCCAGGGTCTGTGGGATTGTTAGATGGAAAGCCGGTCTATCATCACCCAAGTGCAGAGGGACGAAGCCTTGGTCTTTTCAAAACAAGGTAAGGAGGGGAAGTCGAAGTTAGAAACTTGTTTTCTTCCTAGCTGGCCACCCGTCCCGGGGTGGGGGTGGGGGGGGCGGAGAGGGAAGAGACACCCCCTCCCTTCTTCCCCCTCCCCCCCCCTTAAAACAGCCTCGGTTAAACAAAAAAGTGCGCGCGCGGGGTGGTGGTTCACTACACTATTTGCTCCGTGCAAAAATAATAATGGTCATGAAGGAGGAGCTCTGAAGTCCTGGCGTGGGTGGAGGGAGATGGCGTGTTTCTTTAAAAAAAAAAACAACCAAAAAAACCCCACCACTTTCCTCCCAAATTGTGGGGAGGGTACGCGCGTTTCTTAAGAGAAAAATAAAGCTGCTTCTCCCCACCCCACCCCTTTTCGCGTCCGGATGTATCGCGTAGAGCTGTCAGTCAATCCGTTTAGATTTTTTGTGGGGGGGGGGCAGCGACAGGTCCGTGCGAGATGTCTCCTCCTCTCCCTCCCTCCCTCCCCCCCAAAAAAAATGTCGAAATCGACCGGGCCCTTTGCGAAGTGGGGTGGGGGTGAGACGGAGGGGGAGAGAAGTGAACTTGGTTTCCCTTGGTTGCCTCCCCTGGGAACGGCCTTGTGTTTTGTTTTTTTTCTTCCCCCCCTCTCGGTTTTCCCCGTTCCCGCGTCTTCCTTCCACCCCCGCTTGGTCCGAGGGGAGGGAGGGAGGGGAGAATTTGGGCGCTTCTTGCATAGACCTCTCGCTCTCTTTCATGAGGAAGGGAGGAAAAAACTCTGAACGTTTTGTTTTTCATCTCTCTTGCCTCTCCCCCTCTCCCCGCTTGTCGCCCTTCCGCGCTTGCGTAGCTAAACAGGCACTTGAACCCTTTCCAAACGTTGCTCTTGAATCGTTCCGGATTTGGAGCGGGTGGGTGGTGGTGGGTGGTTTTATTTATTTGTACCCGCCCTTCAAGTCCCAAATCTTAAAAGTCACATTGGAATCATTTTATTTTATTTTATTTTATTTTCGGCCCACCCCAAGTCTTTTCCTTATCGTCTAAAATGAAGACGAAGCCATTTGCGTTGACATACACAAACAACACACAAATAACAAACACGCAACCCACACATCTCCTTAAATCTTAAAAAAAGACCGAAAGTGTCGATGACGGCATGGCCATATTCTCTGAGCGGCGACTTGCCGTGCTTAGAATATATCCCGAGGAATGTAGTCATAGTACTACGGGGGCTTTTGAGGTTGACAATCCGGATTACATTGACTACGTAGCGAGGAAACGGGGCTACCGAACAGGTTTCCTCCGCATAGTGCAATGCCACCATGTAAATCGATTGGGCGGACGGCGAAATGCCCTGTTAGTAAGTCTTTTGAGACTTGTATTTTCGGTATTCCTAAAACAAACCCTCCACAAAACAAAAACGCTTTCCTCTTTGGAGGTTCGCACAGGGTTGGATGGGATCGTTGCGTTTTAATGTTGGCACCTATTTATATTGTTTTTCTCCTACACTCCCTCCCCCCCCCTTTTTTTTCGTTTGTGCTGGTGTTATTCAGCTGATGTTGGCCAACCAGATTTTTCTGCTTAGCTATTGGCCAAAGGACTCCCCCTCCCCTTGTGTTCTTGACAGAAAGGGTCTTGGGGACAAGCAACGGGGAGGTGGGAAAACTGGACAACTTGTCCTCTGTTGGGTGTAGCTTAATTGCTCTCCAGTTGCAAATCTAGATTAGGTGGAGCTACCTCCCACTCTCTCCCCAGGTAAATGAAAGTAGGGGTTGATTTTTTTTTCCCCCTCCAGTAACCTTGCAGATTTACATGCAGCTAAATATGCAAAAGTTATCCCAGATGCATTTGAGCAGCTCTTCCCAAACTGTTGCCTTCCAGGTGGTTTGCCAACTGTGGGAGTTGCAGTCCTACGCCCTATCAGGATGTCAGGTTAGAGCAGGCTGTTTCTGAGGATTGGGCATACCTGCTTTCTGTTGGGGTGGAGAGGGAATGAAAAACGGAGTTCTATTTCTCCTACCCAGTACAGCTATTCTGAGCCCAGATTATTTTATTCCCAGCTGCTTCTGAATCTTTTGCTTTTATGGCGATTTGTGAATAACAATCTAATCATCTAATCATTGATAACACCCCATTATTTTGTCACTGGTCTTAATAAAAGTTTGCCAGGTCAAAAAATTGGATGCTCTGCAGTCTGCAGAGCTGGATGCGTTTTGTGATGGAATCTGAATTTCAGATGTTCCAAAAGAAGGGGTCATCTTGTCAAATTCTCTTACAAGCGGAAAGGTTGTGAGGAAAAGGAGGATGGTTGGAAAGTTCTTATTTGCCAAGAACTCAAACCTGAGTAAATGCAGTAGGTGTCAAGAAAAGTAAAAAGGACTGATTTGGAGAGTGCAAAAGTAATCTTGTGCATAATGACTAGAGGAAGACCCACAAAGCAATAGGGTCCTTAGAGTAAGATTAAAAGGCTGAAGCGAGGGGGAAATAGCTGGTGTTTTTGGAATAAACAGTCATGCATAAAATTGAATTGGTGCATTTAATGAAATGCTTCATCATACCCCCCCCCCCCTTTTTTTTTCTCAATGCCTGGAGCAGTTTCATTGCCCGCTCTCCATTTGCCCTACTACACCCTCCCTCCCTTTTTTTTTTAAGTTGTCTCTTTTCAGGGAAATGGAGGTTTTTGGTGGCAGCCATCCAGAGAAGCTTGGATATGGGAGCCTCTGGTGAACAAACAAGATGCAAATTAAGCTAAGGCCTTAGCAGGGCCTGCCAAAGTACATTTAAGCCCACTAGCGAGTTTCCAAATACTGCAGCTCTCCCCTGTAATTTAACAGGCAGTTTTCTCTGCAATCTTTGTTGATCAAGGAATGTGAATAAAGGCTTGTAGGAGGACTTGTTGATAAAGGCCTTGGGGCAAAGCCTGGGGGCTGGGTGCATTTTGTTAGCAATCTGTATAGGTGGCACCAAATAGAGAATGCAGGTTGTTTTTTAATTGAAAGGATTGGCAGTCAGGTGAAGATTTCTACTTGAGAGAGGATTCTGGATTCTGAACCAAGTCTATTTCTGATGCTGTTTTTTTTTTTTTTTTAACTGAAAGAGAACCAGTTTGGTGGTGTATTTAAGGCATAGGCTGGGGTGGGGGGTGAGTTCTAGTTCTGTCTTAGGCACAAAGTCAGCTGGGTGATTTTGGGTAAGTCATTTGCTCTCAGCCCTAAGAACAGGCAATGGCAAACCACTTTTGAAAACCCTTACCAAGAAAAATGCAGGAATCTGGTAGTCTTCAAGAATCAAACACAATTGAATAGAAACGTTACTGAAATGCACTATAGCAACAGCATTTAGACTTATATGCCAATTCACAGTGCTTTACAGCCCTTTCAAAGTGGTTTACAGAGTCAGCCTATTGCCCCCAACAGTTTGGGTCCTCATTTTACCCACCTTGGACGGATGAAAGGCTGAGTCGATTTTGCACCTGGTGACATTTGAACTGCCAAATTGCAGGCAGCCTGCAGTCAGCAGAAGTAGGCTGCAGTACTGCTTTTTAACCACTGCACCACCACGGCTCTTCCACTATAAAGTGGTAAATGTTAGGTTTTGGGTTTTTTTTTTTACCAAAAGAGAGCCAGTTTGGTCTAGTGATTAAGGTACCAGGCTAGAAAAGGGGAGCCCATGATTTCTAGTCTCACCTTAGATATGAAAGCCAACCGGGTGACTTTGGGCCAGTCATACTCTCTCAGTCCAATTCACCTTACAGTGCTGTTGTGGGGAAAATAGGAGGAAGAAGGCATATGTTCACACCCTTGAGATATTTGTAAAAAAATTAAAAATAAAGGAAGGATGCAAATAAAATAAAATACGCTAGTGTCCAAAGAAAGAGGATCTGTTGGCTGTGTGCTTAGTTTAAAAGTAGAAAAAGTGGTTTTTTTAAAAAAAGAGCACTGAGATTTCTTCTCAACTATTTCAACATTAACCAGAAAGAAAGAAGAGAACAAATTGGTAGGTGATTGTTTACAATAGCTGTTCCTCAGTTATGGAATTTCTCTTCGTTAAAGGTCACCTTTAAATTGGATGAATTTAAACTTAAAGCAAGTTGGTGTTGATATTTAGAGACGGGTGTGTTTTTGTAGAAGAATTATTTTGTGAAACATTGTGAATTGTTGCAAATCGCTCTGAACTTTAGAGAAAGAAGAGATAGAAATGAAACACAACATTTTATATGAAGAAGCATGTGGATTCTGGAAGGAAAATGATGGCAAGCTTATTTTTATTGACAAGAAAAGCATTACATATCCATAAAAGTTCATCAATGCTGGACAGATTAATAAATGCAAATTTCAGAAATCAGTGGAATCTGAAATGGGGGAAGACAATCCATTCTATACACAACATATACCTAGGGTCAGGATGTAGTATTTCAGCTCGTATGAATATGGCACAGCCATTGAATCTTCGGTGTAATGTGAACTTGGCTACAATTTGCCATGGGTCTCCAATCAATACTTAACACTCCTCTCCTTTTAGAAGTACATTTTTGGGATGTGAAGTCGATTTGTCAAATAGAAGGCTGCTAGAGTTAGAAACAGGAGATACCATACATACAAGCTAGAGAGGACAGAAAAAATGGGTTATATGAAATATATGCACAGAATGCTTTTTGGGGGAAGCAGGGCAAGGTTTTTTTTTTGGGGAGGGGGGAGCAACAGTTTGTCAGAATTGGCATATTATCAGGATATCCGTGAGGGTAAGCAAGCAGGAGGCTTCTCATTGTCCAACATAGTAATATACCAAAGAACAACAAAGGGTCCTTATTGTTCCTAACATTGCTGGGCTTGTGAGGATCGGTCCAGAGCAAAATCTGTCCCAGTTATTCCATACCTTCCTAGTTTTTTAGTATTCTGTATTCTGTTGGAGGGAGAGCGTATGGATCCATTAAATGGGAACCACGGGAGGAATCGGCTGTTGCCATGAGCTCTTTTGTTCTCCTGTAACAAGGATGTTAAATTTTGTGCAGGAGTTAT